CAACAAATTTTCTTTTCCAATCCTTAATGAGTAGTTCTTTTCCCCTTTTCCAAGACTTAGATATTGTAATTCTTGCCACCACTAAACTATATTGACAAATTTCTACATCATCGTTACTAATTCTCTCCTGAAACAAGTCCAGTAGGAATCTTTCTGGATTTTTCTTGACCTTTTAAGAAATCATTTTACTAGTTTCTTTCGTCACCTTTTTCCAATTTTTTTACCTCCTTACATGTCCACCAAACATGGAAGAAGGTGTCTTTCTGCACTTTACATCTCCAACATTCTCCTCGTTGGGTTTTTATCAATTTTAACCATTAATTTAGGAGTTATATAACTTCTGTAGAGCATTTTGTACAGGTTTTCTCTAATGGACCATGCTATTGAAAATGTAAACTATTTTTCCAATAATATTTCCCAATTATCCAAATCTATATTCTTCCCTAAGCCCAGGAGATCATTACTGTTTTATTTGGTTATCTTCCAGGTTATATTCTAGAACATATTCGTATAACCTGGAGATCAATCCTTTATTTTCTTTCTCCAAAATATTCTCCAACTTGGATTTTCTTTTGGGGAACCCAATGTTAATATCTTTCCTAAATATATCCAGTAGTTGATAATACCTAAACCAGTCATTATCCTTAGCTCTTCTCTCCCTTTTAATTTCCATTGTCCTTTTTCTTCCATTGGGTATTGCCTATACATTATCCATTCCTCATGATGTTGGTTTTCAGCACTGCTTTAGCTTTTGTGTTGTCAATTGTATTGTTGAAATTCAACAATAGTTGGCTATCTCATCAGCCAAAAGCAGGTCCACACCTTCCAATGAAATACTAATAAGTTTGTGTTGGTTAAAATTGTTCTTCATTTTAAATATTGTATCGTTCTTTCATGTGTTTTTTGCACTACAAACAAGATATGTGCAGTATTGCATCAGAATTCATTCTTTTTTTTAAAAAAAAATGTAGTCCAGCCCCCCAACAGTATGAGGAATCGTGAACTGACCCTCTGCTTAAAAAATTTGAGGACGTCTACCCTAAAGTATAGCTTTATTTCACCAGCATGGATGTGCATCCCAGATTCCACAAAACCTGTATGGAAGAGTAAAAATTACAGTCATATAAATATGTGGGTCAGTGAGAAATTATAAAAGGCTTGGGGGCCATATTGGAGGGGCACAACCCAACTGCATTCCCAAAGGAATGTTTTTGTCCCAAATGCTCTCTAAGCAACCTAGAGAGCTTTATGTCATTTCTAGAAAGAAGCCATTACTTGGAAGTAGATTTTTAAGAAGCTCTCCTAGGTCTAAAGTATGCCACTGAAGGCAAAAACCTGACAAAAATTGTTTTGATTCCCCCCCCCCGGGGGGGGGGAATCTTGGAGCCACAAAAATGTCCCTGAGTGTATTATATGGCCCCTGACTGCACTATACACACTCCTGCTCTAAATAGATCTGTCTTACAGATATATATATAATATTTTGTCTATCTTTCACAAAATCAATTTGAAATTGTCATCCATATGTTAATATTCAGTACAATGACTGAATAAAATATTAAGTGCAATATATTTTTCAAAACTTATTAGGATGCAAATAAAAATGTATGGTTGCAAGTTTGACATAAGCAATAGATTGATGTAGGGCCTTTCTCTTAAAGACAAATCAATTTGAACTTTCATTCCTTGGGAGAAAAAACCTTCAACAAGAAAGTTCGAAGATCTCAGGAAACTTTCAAAAGCATGCAGATATTATTCCAACTTCTTTTATTATTGTATTGTCGAAGGCTTTCATGGCTGGAATCACTAGGTTCTTGTGGGTTTTTTCGGGCTATAGGGCCATGTTCTAGAAGCATTTCTTCTGACGTTTCGCCTGCATCTATGGCAAGCATCCTCAGAGGTAGTGAGGTCTGTTGGAATTAGGACAATGGGTTTATATATATATGTGGAATGGCTGGGGTGGGGCAATTATTATTATTATTATTTTAGTACTTCAATCCACCATACATGGATAGCAAAAACATGAAATGACACAGTAATTGGTTTATCATTTTCAAAATGAAAAGATGTGCTTTTTAAGTGAAATAATGAACAACATATTGCTTTAATGTTCTTACACTATAACTTGTAATTCTCCAAAAAATTGTAATATTTATTTATTTTAATACAAATCCCCAAATAGATTTCCTTGGTTTTTCTAAAACAATTATACTGAAAATTAATTAATTCCTAACCACTGGATGGCAGTAAGAGCTCCTTATGTGCATTCAATGTGCCCAATTATCTTGTACTTTGCTAACAATTTCAAACACAGTATTTTTAATGGTTGGACTAAAAGTATTATCTGTTTATTAGAGATGTATTATAAAAGAATATATCTTATTTTTCTAAAGAGAAACAGACTTGTCAACCTGCTTCAGGAAGGATCGGGTGTGAGTATTATTTTCTTTTCTTTTCTTTCCTTTTTTTGGCATGCACTAATATGAAAAAGAAGTATGAGAAGAGTGTCTGCCTTCTATTTTGAATCACTCACAGGCTTCTCCTACACAGCCACATAATCCAGATCAGAATATAGATTAAAGAAATCCAGTTCCACTCCAGAGAGTCTCCACATTTACCCTGGGGATCACAAAAAACTCTGGTGGGATCCACAGAACACCCCTCATGTCAAATCAATCCAACAGAACATCTTATTCCATTGGAAGACATGTGCTGAACTGCATCAACCCATTAGATGAGATTCAGTGATGGAACTCATCTTCCCACTAAAAGAAAGGGGAAAGTAATTTCCTCTTGGGGAGGGGGAGGAGGTGTTTATTTACTTTCCTGAGAGAGCCATATCCAAGTTCTTTATCTAAATTTTCCAGTGGTAGCACTGTATATGTTGCTCCTGAATTTCTGCCCTGCAGCATCCATACACTGGTCAACTGCAGTGCATTTTATTGCAGAATTTGGACTTTCTCCTGTAGAACGCATACTCAATATATCCCATATGCATGGGGGTATTGGGGTAACGATACAAAAGGTTTGCTAGGGTAGACCCTCTTTCACTCAGACTCACCCCCCCCCCCCCCCCCCGAAACAAACTCAGCCCCCCCCCCCCAAATCGAAATCCTGGCTATGGGCCTGCGCAAGACCCTTAGTCATTACCTTCCCCAAGTTTCAACATCACCTCATTGATAACTTGGTTAAAATCTGAGGCAAAAGTATTAGATTGCCTTATTGTGGATATGAAAGAGAGAAGTAGTAGGAGAACACCTGATGCTGTCTTCAGCTCCTCATACAGCAAATTTCCAACTACATCTGAACAACACCAGAGTCTCATGGCTTCTTCAAGTTGTTGTGCCATAGGCTTCCATGTGAAGTGTTTTAAGTCACCACAGAACTCTCCTAGGTTTCACACCAATGTCAAGGAAGTGTAATAATATGGTTTGGTTTCATTTGCTCTCCTAGACAGGATTCCCACCTTTGCCTTCCGTTTTGTTTGCACACCTACCTATATTTCTAACATTTTACCATACCTAATACTATAGGATGAGTGTGCATTATCCAAAATGGGATGTTTCGGATTTCAGATTTTTTTTTCCAGCTTTTTGAATATCTGTATTTGCATATATGGAAATAATGAGTTATCTTGGAGATGGGACCAATGTCTAAATATCCCATTCCATATTGTGAAACCATACCAATATGCATGAAACAAAATTTGTATACACTAAATCATTAGAAAGCAACAGTGTCAGTATTTCAATCACCCACATGGACAATTTTGGATTTTAGAGTATTTTGGGTTTTGAATTCCAGATAAGAGATGCTCAACCTATATCTGATTTTCCTGAGAAATGTAACCACATTCTATCAGATATTGTCTGTGTCTGTGCACACAGCAAGCCAGAGCTCTATGGGAACTCTGGCTTGTCATGAATGAGCACTGTGTTGGCATGTACTGTTTAATCATTCCTGTTTGCTGCAGGAGTTGCTAAACCAACCACAGAGTTTTACGACATGGTTTCTTTATTATATCATCCAGCAGCTTCCCGCCTCTTGTGCGTTCCCTCCCCCAAAACAGAGGAAAAATCCATGGTTTTGTTTTTATGCTGCCTGCTACCCATATTTTCTCTAAGGCCATGTATTTAAAACCATCAACAGTATCCAAGTAACTTGAACAAATTTCGATCAAGCAGTCTAGGCAAATGACGCAATGTTTCAGTCTTATTACACAGATTATTTTAAAAAATCCAAAACAAAGGTAACACAAAACTGCAACCACACCATTTTTAAAAACCGACCTGCAAAACTTAGCTAAGTTTATACACGCTTTGTCTTCATATAGGAAGCTTATCTGTACAATAATTACTGTAAAAATGGCTACTGCACAAAAGCCAAGCAGAAGTTGGCAAAATATATTTTGAACTATACTGGTGGGGGATATGGGGTGTTGCTGTCCAAAAACTAACTTTTTCGAATTCTGGTTATTTATTTGGTATTTTATTATAGTTGTAGCTTCAGAGAGATTCCCAGTACAAGGTGATGAAATCAATCTGAAGCTTCTCCAATTCCTTCTCAGCATAACATTTTAAACAGAAAATATTATGAATGCAGAACAAGGCAATTCAAAAAGCTCCCATAAAGATAGCACATTATATATGTTTTATGCCTATTGCCTTTCCAGTTCATCTGGAAAGAAGTAAACAAGAGCATGCAGTTATGAACAATTTCTTCATATGCGCACTAACACATAATATATATATTAATGGTAAAGGTATACTACACATTTATGTTTTACCATTAAGATTGTAAAGGTTATTTGGACGATTTAGTACGATGACAGGATTACAACCTGAATACCACAGTACAGAAAGCATTCTCTTCTTTATGTAATTGCATAAGCATTTGGTGTATCACAAGTCCTACAAAACAACAAGGCATATTTTCCAGTGTGTGTATTCATGTTCATTTAGCATTAGTTTTGCTTATTAAAATGCTACAGTTGAACATACCTTAAAATGTCAAAAGGAAAGCAGAATTTGGGTATGATCTGTAGTATTTCCTGTAAATGAAGATGAAAGAATGTTAGAAATGTTTACAAATTACTGTAGTGATTCTACAATACTGTTTGCTTTTAGAAATTGAAAAATAAAGCAGTGTTTTAGCTGGAAAATAAAAGAACTTTCGTACACGTTCCTGGACTGAAATAATTGATTATTTAAAAGGAATTAAGTTGGTGCTTTGGCAGATTGCAAAGACAATGCCACAGAAACCCCAGGAGGGAAAGGCCTGGCCTGAAGGGTATTAACACCCTTCACATCCCCGCTGGGATTCCCTTCAACAAGGCCATATGGATTTTACAAGAAGCACCATACCATATGGGTAGGCCACGTCTGCTGCTACTTGTACTACAGACTAGCCACAGGGACTTCTGACAGATCCTGGCTCAAAAATCCAAATGTTGTTTCAATTAAAATGCAAGCAGAGAAAGGGGAACCAAGTTGGCAGCAAGCAGAATTTACTGAGAGCTAAACAACTCTATACACGTTTCATAAGCTAATGTTTTAAAAAGCTGGAACTCCTCGCTTAGTGCAAAGCCGAAATTGTACAATTAACCCCTTAGGATAGCTGCACAAGATTCAAGACATAACCCACTATCATTTTTAAAAGGGAATAAATAAAATTTATCATGATTTTACAGTGATATACACTTTTTCTCTCTTTTCCAATCTCTGTTACAGTTCAGCAGCATGTATAACGTACCTAAATATAAAAAGAGTCCAATTTGATTTTGGAAATTATACAGCGTCTCAAAAATTAAGCGGTATAATAACAGCAACTGTCACTAAAACTAGTCAACATTACTATGGTACAAGGATCTTTTACAAAGAGCTGTTTCACACAAAATATTAATATATGGTTTGCACTGTGTCGTCCATGTGTTTGCACTGACAGGAAGAAAATAAAGAGAAAGTAGGAGGGAAGATGTGAGATATATATTGAGATGAATATAAGCAAGTGCGGTAACATGTACATAGATTGTACTGCAATTTAGGGTTAAACATGTGTTCCTTATATTCATGGAAAAGAGGGGAAGGTTCATAGGAAGAGGGCAACTAAATTAGGGTATCCCAAATCCACAGAGCATCATATACCAGGTTATTTGGTGTAATATATTTACACCAAAACAATAATTCCACACTGCCTCTAAAGATCAACTTAGAGTTTTCAGATTGGGCACAAGGCACTTTCAAGAAAGTCTGGACATATACACTCCCTTGGAAAAAGTGATCCAATCTGGTGGAAGTATTCAACATAACAGATATGTCAAAGTTTAAACCCTTCATTCTTAGCTCTTGGGTTCTGTTTAACAGTGTCAACATTGACTTTCCTGAATTTCCTATATATTGTACAAACTGAGTTTAAAAATTAATTATCAGGTGTTAGCTGTCTGTAAGATAATGGCTTTTCCTATTCATTTCCATATAAGAGACAATCATTATATACAGAACTCCAGTATACACCTGGTGTAATACCACACATGGAGTAAAATGGATAAAATGAGGAAACTAGTCATACAGAAACTCTAAATGCCCACCTATTCAAAAGTGAACTGGACTTCTGAATTTGTTATGACTAAAGAATATTGGGTGGTTAAACCAAATTATACTTTCTTTAGCATAAACCTTTCTATTTCAAAAGTCAAAGCATGGCTTTTGAAACTATTTCAAAGCTTATGTATGTCAAAGGAAAATAAAATTTTGGCAATCCATACTATTTGGATTTTTTTTTCTTTTTTTTTTCTAGTTTCAAAATGTCCTCTGTTCTTAAGTCACTAATTCTGGCTAAAAGCAATCCATGGTTTGATAATCAGATATTGCATCTGGAACTTTATCTTTCCAAATATAGTTTTTTTCCACATCTACTCCTTTCTAGGCATTAAGTACTAAGGAAAACTAAGGTTACCCTACACATGTTTTCATATAACCACTTCAAGATACGGTTTCTTTCTGTTTAGAAGAATATGGTTTTCAGGCTTGGAGCTAATACATATGCAACACTAAACCATGATTAAAGGGAGAATCAAAAAGCAGAAATCACTCCAGAGAAAGGCAACAGGTACACATTGCCAAGGCTATCTTCTGAAGTGGTAGCCAACATTTCAAGTAGCAGGTATTACATCTGTAACAGAACCCTTTTAATGTTGCCTGTTTTGTTTTCAGCAAAGACCAATGCTTATGTTATTTTATATATGGAAATTAAGTTAGACATAAAAATCTGTATCAAAAGGTTTACCAAATTACACCAAACTCCACAAGGCAAACAAATGTGGTGCTGGACAATACTCAAATTATTTAGATTAGATTATATACTCAAGTGATTAATATAATGTGTTGTTACAAAGCTATACTTAGTCCATACCACCTTCACATTAAAAGCACAAAAGCCACAGTTGCTGAAATCCTGCTAATTCCTGTTCTGTTCCTCAGCCCCAAAATAACTATTACTGTTTTCGCCATAACAGATAAATGGATCCATTCCTTCTGCCACATTGTAGAGGCAAACCAATGCCAAGACTTTCCCAGTGTTGCCTTCCCTCCCTTCCTTCCCTCCTGCTATCCTCAGTCGGCACACACACACACACACTCACACATGCTCTCACACACAAACTTCTGCAAAACACAACCTCAGCTCGCTTCCCAACTGGCAGGATCATCCCTCAGGGGACAAGTCTTTAAACCTCCGCACTCTTTAAAATTCAACCAGCCAGCAGGTCTGTAGACTAGTGTATAAACAGTATAGGGAGAAAAATCCTCGCAGCTTATGTCAGTGACAAAGCAGCTCAGCAGTTGACTGTTTTTCCCTTGACAGTGTAAGCCAGGTTTACACAGATCAATAGACGGAAGCTTACCTAGCTTGCAGGGCTCAGTTTCCTGCCTTAATTACAGGTACTATTCATATTTTTAAAAGAATGAAAATAATACCCCTTCCAGAAGGCTTTTAATGCCTGGCGTTCAATGGCTTCAAAACATTCATTACGTGGTGAAGAAATAATCATAATAAATTCCAAAAAAAAAATTACGTCTTTTAAATTTTGTTTTTTATAGCTCGGACACACTTCCCCTGATGGATATTGGTTCCATGAAGAATAAAACATTGTTAAACTTGTACTTAAGGCAAGCCTTGGCTGGCAGACAGACCAAACTGACATGTTGGTAAAGAACCGCTGTCTCTTATTATAAAGATGGACTGAAGTGCTCATTCTTGTTAATGGGGGAAAAATATTGGTACTGAGTGCACAAGAAAGATGCCTGGTGGATAATGTCTTCAGGAAACATCACAGACACATCAGGATGGAGTTATGTTCAGGAAAACCAGGGAAATAAAAGCGTTTTAGAATATATTGCAGTGACTAAGAAATCTGGCATTTATGCTGAAGAAACAAAACTGTCAAACCAGCCAGCCGCTAGTCTGCTTCTTAAAATGGCTTAAAGGGCCCACAATTTAATTAGCTACTTTTATACAAATACTAAATACTGCCCTGCTACAAAAATGATGTATTTTCTTGAATTACCACTTGTTCTACGACATATATAATTGAACTGCAAAACAAAAAGATTAAACACTGCACCTTTGCAGAGGGAAAAATAAGCGTGTATATACTGTTTTAATATTTGTATATTTAAGTTGTATTGAAATGCTTTTCATTGTGAGCCACTTTGAGTCTTCATATGGAGAGAAAAAGCAGGTTGTTTTTATTTATTTATTTATTTATTTATTTATTTATTTATTATTTGAACTTATATGCCGCCACTCCCCTAGGGCTCGGAGCGGCTTACAAGAATGGCTAAAATCTAAATATAAATATATCCTACTTTTATATTTGAAGCACAGAATAGTAATTTCCAAAATACAAAAAGGTTTTATTATATTGTATTGTCGAAGGCTTTCATGGCCAGAATCACTGGGTTGTTGTAGGTTTTTTCCGGGCTATATGGCCATGTTCTAGAGGCATTTTCTCCTGACGTTTCGCCTGCATCTATGGCAAGCATCCTCAGAGATAGTGAGGTATGTTGGAACTAGGAAAAAGGGTTTATATATAGTCATACCACAGATATATAAACCCATTTTTCCATTTCCAACAGACCTCACTACCTCTGAGGATGCTTGCCATAGATGCAGGCAAATCGTCAGGAGAAAATGCCTCTAGAACATGGCCATATAACCTGGAAAAACCTGCAACAACCCGGTTTTATTATAATTATTTTTCCCTGGCTCTTCTTGTAATCTTCATTTGAATTCAATGCAACATAATCTGCCATTGCATTGAGAAAATTCATATTAAAGTCACTCTCATTACAATGATGTTTCAGATGTATGCACACATCTGTTTATCACCTCTCGTCCTCAGTTGCTTCATTGGATTGAGCAGGAGAGACACTGTCACAAAGCTAAAAAATCAAGGGCCTTATATGACAGGCATGTGACTTATAGATGTGTGACATGAGTGGTCTGTGGGGCAGGTCTGAATATGGAAAATAATGAGTCAGAATGGTATAATGGTTTTTAATTATAATTCTGGGAACCACAGTTCGAATTCCCATTCGGACATGAAAACCACAGGATGAACTTGGGCAATCCCATTCACATAATAAGGCAACAGCAAACCTCCTCTGAAAAATCTTGCCAAGAAACCACAATAACAAGGTCACTTTATGATGGTCTCTATATGTCCAAAATGTCTTGAGGGAACTCAGCAATAACACTGCTATGTAGAAATCTTCAGTTTCTAGGTTCTGCCTTCAGTAAGGGAAGGAAAAAGCAAAATCACTGTGTGCTAACTGGACTTCTGTCCAGACACCCTTTGATAAACAGCTGCCTTTCAAGGAGATGAGACACATAAGCATGATCTACAAGCAATCTTTGGGATAAATTTCATTCAGACAACTTTCAACATATACATAAGGAAAAGTATTTGGAAAAGTGGCCAAGATGTGGCACTGTAATTCCAAAATCAAAATATGTACCACTAGTTTTTGGTCCTCTTTTCTCTCTTCATAG